AATTTCACTTATTTCTATTTACTTTGTTGTTCTTTATTTAAAAAAAAAATTTTATGGACCTTTATTTTATTTATTTATATATGGTGCTGAGAATTGGACCCAGTGCCTCACATGTGCAAGGCAAGTGTTTCACCACTGAGCCATAACCCCAGCTCTTTTTCTTTATTTTTAAAATTCTTCTTAATACTATTTTAAAAATTTTGAGACAGTATCTTGCTAAGTCACTGAGGGTCTTGTTAAATTACCGAGGCTGGCCTTGAACTTGAGATCTTCTTGCCTCAGCCTTCCAAGTCACTGGGATGACAGGTGTGTGCTACCACACCTGACTTTACTTTTTTAATGGGGCTATTAGAAAATGTAAAATTATGTGGCTAACATTATAATACTTTTGGGAAATACCACTCTAAAAAATGAAAAATCATGAAAAAGAATCCATTTTTCTTATGAAAATAGGCAATGATGATGGTAAAGCACCTAATACAAATACCCCAGAATGTGTTGAGGATTTCATGAAAAACGTAGAAGTTATTTATTATAGGTAATGGATCAGTCGTTTTCTTTATATTGCATGATACCTTGTCATGCATTTGCTTTCCTAATCTTTTTGAATTTAATTTATTTCCCAGAGTGCAAAAGATAAAAGGTATTGCATTTACTGCCTTTTATCTAACATATTTTTATTTTGGAAGCACACATTTCCTAGAGGAATGTTTTTACAACATTACCAACTCACTGTTTTTTTTTTCTTTTCTATCATGTTTCCTTCAGTTTTACTTATCTATCTATCTATTTATCTATCTATCTATTTATTTATTTTTGGTGTTGGAGATTGAGCCCAGGGCCTCATGCATGCTAAGTAGGAGCTCTACCACTGAGCTACACCCCCAGCCCTTATGCTTCTTTTCAACAGTAAACATTGACTCTTGTGTGTTAATTGGATAAAGTCACAATTTTCTCATCCACAAAATGAGGATAATAAAATCTAGCATGCAGGTGTGTCATGTTAGATGAGGTAAGTGAATATGCTATGTTAGACATTGTAGGAGAGAGAAGAATGACTAAGATCCCCCTCAGCAGAGTGAGAGTGACAAATACATGTGTTAAACTGAGTGGACTTCAGAGAAGGTGACTCAGTCACTCAAAGGAGGCACTAGATTTTATATTACATGAGCAAAATGGAAAGAGTGATTATTAGGTTTAGACTCCACCTGGGCAGTCACATAGGGGTGGAGTGGGTTGGTCAGGCAGGCATTTTAGATTTTGAATACAGTAACTATATGAGAGTTTAGGAAAATTCATGGTATGTATTTTAGGTTCCTTTTGGTTTAAATATTTATGGATTTTATTATATTACATTTGGCTCTTTATTGCCTTACTGTACCTCAGTGGACCGTCTACCAGCCTGGGAATTCCTCCTGTATAGGGATTATGATATTCATCTGTGTCCAGCACAGAACTTTGCAAAAAACAGGTGTTAAATGGGTATTTAATGAGTAGATGAATGACTAAAAACTGTGAAGCCTTTAAAAGATGATGTAGCGATATATTTTTTAGTTCAAAATACAGTATCTATGACGATGGTTTGAATTACTTTTCTTCTTCTTTTTTTTTTTTTTTTGGTACTGGGGAATGAATCCAAGGGTGCTTTACCACTGAGTTACATCCTTGGTTCCTTTAATTTTTTATTTTGAGACGGAGACTCGCAAAATTGCCGAGGCTGGCCTTGAACTTGTTATCCTCCTGCTTTAGTCTCCCAAATTGCTGGGACCATTGTGTACCACTGTGCCTGGCAAATCCAGTTTTTTTTTGTTGTTGTTGTTGTTTTGGTGCTGGGGATTGAACCCAGGCCTCATGCATGCAAGGCAGGTGTCTGCTGCTGAGGTGTATTCCCAGCCCTGTGTTTGAGTTTCTAGACTTTTGTCACAAACTTAGAGATATCTCGGCTGAAAGATGTGCATATATAGAGAGTGAGTGGTAGATTCTTATTCTCATGTGATGAACTGCTGATCAGAAGTCTTGGAGCTTTAGTTACCTGCTGCTCAAGGAGGGCTTTTACTTCACCTCCTAGTGGCCATCACATTTCTGTGAGTTTTCAATACAACTTCCCTTTGATCTCTGTTCAGTGAAGGATATAGCTGGCTCTACTTCTTTTATTAAAAAAAAAAAAAAAAAAAAAAAGAAGAAGCCTGCCTGCCAACTCTGGCTGTTTGGAAAGGAGTGTTATTCTGCAGGGGAGGAAGCATAATGGCAAAGGGTTCTATCTACAGGAAATCCAATGTTTGCTCTGCAGAGAGACATGTGATAAATTGAAAGAAAGGAAGTGGCTTAGTAACTAGAAGGTCAGTTTGTGTGAGATTTCCTTTTTTGGGTTTCCTCCTATCCTGTTTATATTATCATTATGTTTTAATCTTTTATTTCCTATTTAACTGTTAAGTTGCTTTCATGTTAGGGGTGTTTGAGATATGCTTTGAATATGATTGACAGATTCACTGAAAAAAAGCACAAGGAGAGAACTGTTTGTTATTTCTTCTCACTTCCCACGATTTTGAGAAAGGAGTTCAGAAAAGCTGTGAATAATCCCTTTCCCCTCCAACCACTTAAATTGGTTTTTGTCAATGGACTGATTATGTCATTGGTCTTACAATTACAAAAAGAAGCCATTCTTGGCTTACCTTACTTTTTACCCGCTGGGAATATTACAGTTTTTACAGTAGAGGATATAGTAAAAACCTATTGGGCACAAGGCTGAATGTATTTTATCCATTCTAGGAACACAGAGAGTTAAATGAAAGGTTCTGGAAAGACCAGGGTGTAAAAAGGAAAGGGTGGGGCATTAGTTTTTCCCTTAGGCATTCACTGTTGTATGTGCAGGGGTCTTTTTCTTGCCTAATTCCTGTGTTGACCTTGTAAACTTTTAATTGTGTAGCAGAGAAAGCTTTGTTTTATGAAGCTCTTCTAAATTAGGCACAATTATTACTATTATGTTTTGGGTATGGGGGATTGAACCCAGCACACTTTTACTACTGAGCTATATCCCTATCCTTTTTATTTGTTTATTTTTTTCTATTTTGAGAAAGGATCTTGCTAAATTGCCAAGGCTGGACTCAAACTTGAGATCCTCCTCTTGCCTCAGCTGCCTAAATTGCTGGAATGCCTGGCTAAATGCCACCACGCCTGGCTAAATCAGACACATTTTGACATGGCCTAAAAAGCCATTTGATACATAGTAATTGCCCCCTGATTTTGAACTTCATGAGGATTATGGAGGTGTTAAGGCTCAGGGTTCTGGTGAGAACTAGGAATGGTGCAAAACTCAGGGATACAGGGGGAGTTGAGAGTTGAGGGCTGGAGGGAGGCTTTGGGATGAAGGTGCTGATCTGGGTGTGGTCTTGTAACAGTGGGCCACTTTATTATCTGAATATAGTCCTTGTTGCTCTGCCACTTCTTATTTTTAAGACGTGTTTCTTTCTCTTCCTCTCACCCTCCCTGTTCCTAATCACCCCCTCATCCTAATCTCAGGGGAAACAGAATTATCATTTCTCTCTATCAAGGGAAGGGTTATCTGTCCTTGAGCACACACCCATCACAGGAACAAAGTAATTCACGCTTGAGGATGGCACCAGAAGATATAAGAAATGACTGTCTTTAAATGAACAAGTGAATTACAACTCTAGACAGAAAATGTAGCCTTTGAATCATCTTTTAAAAACAAGTCTGTTCCCGATGATGGGAAGAATCACAGCCTCTAGGACAGGAGTCCCCTGATTTTCTCCTTTGCTCTCAAAGCAGTACAACTTCTTTTTTCTTTTTCAAAACCTTGTCTTCATTATTGGGTTGGCATGGGGATGAGGACTGAGCTTTTGCTAACAGTGACACATTAAACCAGTGACAAATTCTCAGCCTTTCCTCTCCTATAATTTTGTATTTGGACCCCCAAATTGCCCAGATTATGGTTAACAAACTTAAAAGTGGCGCTGCATATTTTAGTAAAATAAGTCATATTTCTGAAGGAAAATGAAGTCCAGTAGAGATTTGCCAAACATAAGGAGTTTCTTTAAAGTGTTCACGCAATTTTCTGTTAAGCTACTTTTTTGGTTACCTTTTTACTATCCTGCGAATTTGGATAAATTGCTTTACTCCTCCAAACTTCAGTCCTCCTTTTTAAAGTTAAGGGATTGGATTTTTCAGTCTTTAAGTTTTAATTTAGCCCTAAAACATTTCTACTTTTTTACACCTCATTCACTAATGATTTTTTTTTTTTTTTTTTAGTACTGGGGGTTGAACCCAGTGACATGTTGCCACTTAGCTTCATCTCCAGCTTTTTTTATTTTTTATTTTGAGACAGAGTGTTATTAAGTTGCTTATGGCCTCACTGAGTTGCTGAGGCTGGTTTTGAACTTGGAATCCTTCTGACTCAGCCTTCCGAGTTGCTGGGATTACTATGCCCAGCCATGAATTTTTTTTTTTTTTTTTAGCATTGTAATGCAAGATAAATAAAAAATTTCTTTTTTTAAAATATATGTACCAGTTTTCACATGTGGTTTTGCCTGTATTTTCATTGCCATGTGTGTAACATGCAGAGTATGCATTATGCAGATCTTTGGGAATATAGTCTTTTCAACCTTGTAAGTAGCAGATCTTATAGTTGAAGACACTTTGAAGGTGAAGAGTCTCACCTCGAATCCTTGGCTTTGACAAGTACTGACTTTGTGACTTTAGGCAACCTAGCTTTCTAAGCCTTAATTTCCTGTTTGTGATATGGAAATAACATGGTACTTTATAAAGCTACTGTCAGGCCTATGGGAAACGGTACATGTTACCTAATATCTTTATATGAAAATGAGTTTCCGATTTTGTCCAGCCAACATACAAACATGTTTTATGTGTGGACTTAGACATCATAAATTTAGGACTATTTCACTCAATGTTTATCAAATAAGTTGATGACCAGAACATTTTTCTAATAGAAACTAACTTAATATATTTCTTTCTCTTTGTAGATCTTATATTGTACTTTAAACACACCTAAAATTGACATGGAAAAACTCCTTGGAGGGCAATTAGGTCTTGAAGATTTTATATTTGCCCATGTGAAAGGACTAAAAAAAGAAGTGAATATATATAAATCTGAGGATTCACTTGGACTCACCATTACAGATAATGGTGTTGGCTATGCTTTTATCAAGGTAAGTTAAAAAGCAAACCAAAACAGTGTGACCTAATTGAAGTTAACATTTCAGAAAAATCTACCAGGTCAATGACAGTTAGAAATGATCTTCAGAGTGAGCGGCAGCTCAGCAGGCATGCATGAACTGGTAACGTTAGTTTTACTTTCATTTAAAAAAAAGTTCAAAGACATCATTTTTTGTTTACCCTTTCTTTGAATTTCTTCCCTTTGGTTTAAACTTCCTCTAGAATATAAAACTTACTGAAAAAGAAAGACTGTTCCTGGTGCCTATTCATTATCCATGTAAGTTTTTCCAGGTTTGTAGCTCTAAAATCAGATGACATCCATGCTGACATCCAGTGATGAGGGTTACTTTTAACTGCACAGATTTTCAGATATCTTACTTACTTCTTTAAAATTGCTCTTCAAAATTACACAAAAGGTATAATTTCTCTGTTTAAATACAAAGTAATATAGAGAGACAAAGGCAAGAGAAAGAAGTTTGAAATGGTACAAAATTTTTACGAACTCGGGAGTAGTGAAAAGGTAGATGCCTCTTTAAAATAGTTCTGTTGTAATGAGGACAGTTGTCACCTGACATCTGTGGGGAGATTGGTTCCAGGATCCTCTGGGGATGCTGAAATCTTCAGATGCTTACATCTTGCATATGGTATTTGCATATAACCTATGGACATCCTCCTACATACTTTCAATCATCTGTAGATTACTTATAATTCTTATAAAATTAAATGTTATGTAAATTGTTGTTGTATTGTTTGGGGAAAAAATCTGTACTTGGTCAAGACAGAAGCAATTTTTTTTTTCTTTTGAAATGGTTTCTTGCTATGTTGCCCAGTCTAGCTATGAAATTCTGGGATCAGGTGACCCTCCTATCTTGGAGTTACAATTAATTGTAATAATAACAGCTGACTTATATCAAATGCTTACCATGTAATAGGCACTTGGCATACATTTTTTTATTTAATTATCACAACAATTCTATTTGTTGATATTATGTTTTTTATTTACTTTTATGTTGAGGTGTAAGAACTTTTTTCTTTTTCTTTCTTTCTTTTTTTTGGTACCAGTAGTTATAGTACCAGTAGTTACATATAAATGTAATACAGGATTGAAGCCTGGGGCACTTAACTACTGAGTCACATCCCCAGCCTTTTTTATTTTTTATTTTGAGACAGGATCTCGATAAGTTGCTTAGGGCCTTGCTAAATTTCTGAGGCTGGCCTTGAACTTGCAATCCTTTGGCCTCAGCCTCCTGAGTTGCTGGGATGACAGCACCTGGCTGAGATGTAACAAATTTTTAATGTACAGCTTTAATGAATGTTTACATCATAACACTTGAGTACCTATCACACAGATCAATGGAAATTGTATTTCTACTGCTCTGAAGTCTTTCTGTGCTCCTTCTCAGTAAATACTGTCCTCTCCACCCCTTTGGGGAGAGTTGTAGCTACTCTTTTGACTTCTGTCACTATTTGCTTCTTGAAATTTATATACTCTATTTTTTCTGACTTCTTTTGTTCAACATGATGTCTGTGAGATTTGTCCACAGGAAGGTAATATTAGCAACTCTTATCTTGCAGATATAAAAATAGGATCAGGAAAGTTAAAGTAACTTGCCCAAAGTTGTACAGCTGGAAAAATTCAGGATATGAATCCCAAGAAGCCTCACAGTGGGCCTGGAATTTCTGTGCACTGAGCTAAGAATTAGTGGTAGGCTGCATGCAGCACAGCATGTTGCATGTCTTTATTTTGTCCAAACCTTGATTTGCTGATGCATTGTCATCATTAAAGAAATAGTCTTAGGAAAGTTATCTTCCTAACTAAATGGTGCTTCAACTACCCACTTGATAGAATGGCTATTTTTAGCTCTGCAAAAAGATATGACTGTGCTGAAGGTTGAGTGGGTGACCAAATGGAAAATCTGTGAGTTGGGAAAGTCATGTGGGATTATCCAAGGGAAGATCAGGACATGAGGCATATGCAGCAGTGACTTTCTAATGTCAGCAGAGAAGGGCTTGGAAGCTTTGCAAACATGTGTGGATTTTTTAAATGTTAGTCTCTGACGTTTGTAGCTCGCATTTCTTTCTTTCTTTCTTTCTTTTTTTTTTTAATGCCTTGTCTAACATGTGCCTGCCTTAAAGTACTATCATTAACCCTGTGGAGACCAAGAACCTGGTAGCAAAGGAGAAAGTGGAACACAATCCAAATAGCAAACATGGAGTTCACTTTAAAAGAGAGATTCATATCATATTGTGTACTTAGTTTATAAAAATTTTAAAAATGGGATCATTTCAAACATACAAAAACAGCATAAACATATAAAGAACTCTTGTATATCATTTACCTAAATATCCAATTTCTACATTTGCTTTATTTTCTCTTATATACATTTGTGTGTGTGTGTGTGTGTGTGTGTGTGTTAGTATGTATATGTGTGTGTATATATGTACACATATATATGTATTACTTGGGATATATAATATGTATGTATGTCCCTTAGTACTTGGGGTATAATTACTAAGCACAAGGATATTCTTTATATCTAACTATAGTGCAATTATAAAATTTTAAAATCTAACATTTATATAATACTTTAAAACTAAGCTGTAGTGTG